AAAATATAGAAATTTCACACCCTACGGCAGTCTGTCAACTGCTGTTACTACAAATATTAACTTTTTTTGGATTTTATTTTTACAATGTAATGATGAATAATGCATCTTCAAACTGGTGTCTCAACCTTACTGCCAACTTTTCTCGTTCTGGAAAAATTGCCACTTATTTCCCAACCAAGTATTCCAAAGTAAAACTTTGCTCAACTTTAACTGGCTGTACTGGAAAAAATGTACTACGAGAGTTTGGCAAGTAACCTTAAAAGTTGGCGCATTTAATAAGAATTCCAAAATGGTATAACATTTAGAAGATTACTCGTTAACTTATGCACAATTTTTATTTGAAGAAAAACTGATGAAAATTTTTCAAAATTTCCTAATTAAACAGCGATTATGGTGGACGTGCCACTGAGTATTTACAGGGACATGTGGTTTCAGCATGATGGCTGCCCAGCGCACTATGCACTCCCAGTGAGAGAGTATCTCGATCAAAACTTTCCAGGTAGATGGATAAGGCGGTCTGGTACAATACCGTGGCCAGCCCGATCACCTGATTTGAATCCTTTAGATTTTTTTACTGGGGAACTGTAAAAGAAAAAGTGTATTTCAAGCCGATTCAAAATGTAGCTGAGCTACGGCAAAGACTATTGGAAGCAGCTGAGTTTGTTAATAACCGTGGATTCGCTCGTTTAATAACCCGATCTTTTTTAAAAAGATGTCGAGCGTGTATTGCGGCTGAAGGAAAACAGTTTGAGCATTTGCTGTAAAGGTAAATTATCATCAGCAGCATTTTGACGCACACTGTTGTGCAAACAGTTATCCTTAAGGGCCCTTGTGCGTTTTCATAATCGCTGTTTAATTAGGAAATTTTGAAAAATTTTCATCAGTTTTTTTTCAAATAAAAATTGTGCATAAGTTAACGAGTAATCTTCTAAGTGTTATACCATTTTAGAATCGTTATTAAATGCGCGAACTTTTAAGGTTACTTGCCAACCTCTCGTAGTACATTTTTTTCCAGTACAGCCAGTTAAAGTTGAGCAAAGTTTTACTTTGGAATACCTGGTTGGGAAATAAGTGGCAATTTTTCCTGAACAAGAAAAGTTGGCAGCAAGGTTGAGACACCAGTTTGAAGATGCATTATTCATCATTACATTGTAAAAATGAAATCCAAAAAAAGTTAATTTTGTAGTAACAGGAGTTGACAGACTGCCGTAGGGTGTGAAATTTCTATATCTTTTTCAAAGACCTATAATTTTCAAAACACATACATAAAATTTTTTTAAATATTTTTCTGATAGCTGTTATGACTTTGCCTATCACCCGGTTTTGGCTTGACGTCGACTTCTGGGGTATAGGTATATTAATTAATGAATCACAAAAACGAAAAACTGAAACAAACAACAGTAGCAAAATAAAAGGCGATTCCTAATAAGTATAAATATAAAAATAACAGTAGTAAGCTAAAAAATAATAAATTAAAAATAATTATAAAAAATAAAAAATAAAAACAGTAGTAAAACAAAAACTAACTCCATGTAATTATAAAAATCAAAAAATAACAATCAGCAGTAAAATAAAATAGCAACAATTCCATATTGAATAAAAAGCCATTCTAAGTGACAACACAAAAGAAAAAGTAAAAACAGTAGTAAAACGAAGAACAATTTCATTCCATCCAAATTGCTTTTCATTTTACTGTTTGTTATTTTTTGTTTTTTTATAATTAAATGGAATTGTTTTTTGTTTTACTACTGTTTTAATTGTTTGTTTTTTATAATCACTTTGAATTGCTTTTTATTTTACTGCTGTTTGTTATTTTTTGTTTTATACTTAGTAAGAATCACTTTTAATTTTACTATTGTTGTTTGTTTCAATTTTTTGTTTTTGTGTTTCATTAATATAAATGCATATAAATTTTCCACTTTTCATATTTTCCCTAAATACGGAGCCCAATCCGGCAACCCCGCAGGCAAGCGCTTCTCATGTATGACATATACGTCATATGGCAGATAGATGGCGGTGTAAATAATGATGGAAAGAACAGCTAAAAATACAATGTATTGGGAAAAATTTTTCATGAAAAGCGTGCTTCATCCACACTTTTTTGTTTCTAAATAATCTATCAGACTACCCTCTAAAAGTTTTAAGAGAAAAAACAGGAAATCGGAAGTTCTACAAGACGCAACAGCACCGTTCTCAAGATAACATTAGAAAAACAAGGTTCTTTGTAAATTTCTTAAATATCCTTCACCTAATTTTGTTGTAATTTGGCGGTGGTATTTATGACGTTAAGGAGCTAATTAAGTCCTAACTTGATTGAATGTATTAGATTCAGTGGTGTTTTGAGCGGGGTCTGAACGGATATTTGTGACAAAAGAAATGTGAAATTTTTATTGTTTTTTTTGTCTAAAAAAAAGTCTACCTGGCCCACACAAGGAATATGGGGAAAAGTTTCTTTCAGAAATTATTTTTTTTATATTTTTTTATTACTAATTATGTAATAGTTACAACAAATTGTGAATGCTCATTAATCTGAACAAACAGCTAAAATTAAAGAAAATGCCCGATTCTTGTTTCCTCATATTCCTTATGACTATAATGTATAATCTGTGGCCGAAATACCTACTAAAATGTTCTTGAAAACTGATAGTTACCTTTTGGTTTCTTCATACTGCTTATCCTGCAACTGTTCCTCGTCCCTTTCTTGCTGTCTTTTCTTGAGGAACAGGAATGCCAAGTAGATGAACACCAGTATCAGAGGTATCACTATTGCCAACGTAATACCCGAAGCGAAACCTGCTTGTCTCTGAGAATACTCCTGCTGGCCTGCATTTCAATCAAAATTATTGTTTTTTGTTCACTCGATCTAACGTATCCAAGACAATCACGCGAAAAGTTGTGTAAATAATAGTCATTATGATTATGTGTTTCACACGTTAGGGACAAGCTAAATCCTTGCAGTTCTGATAATAACGAAACAAAGTAATTTTATATTTTACAAACATATACTATCCCTAGCATGTGAAATTATAATCATTAGAGTATCGTTTTTGACATATTTATTCAAGAAGAAGCTTTACAAAAGTGAAGAAATAAATACATAGGACCACATGCTAGAGTTAGTTGATATATTGTTTATAAAACCCCTCTTAAGTACTATGAATAAAAATTACATGTCAATATAATACATATTTATAATAATACCTTAACACGTAGTATGCAGGATCACTGATTTACTTTTTGGAATTTACTTTTTTTTTGCTGTGTTGGAAAAGTGTATTTGAAGGTTTTCATAAACAATACCCCTAAAATTTATAAAAGCATCTAGAAGAAAACGTGAAAAACTTCCAAAGAGTAAAAACGAATTTTTCTAATTTGTTTGAAAAATTCTTCAAAACAATGTTTGACGCAATTTTGGGACTGTCAACATGAATATTTGTTGAACAGGTTGCTTTTGAATAAGATTGCGTAAAAAAACTTAATTGGAATATTTTTATCGTTTTTAGAAAAAAAAATGTAAAACACTCAGAACACACCTTTTGGAGGCAACATAAAATTGAAATCTTAGCAAATACCGAATTGCAACAGAACGAACTATAAATACACAATTTCATATTTTCCTTTGACTAGGTATCTCTAATACCCGTTTTACATCAACAATTTCTTCACGAATTTATTCAGATTTATTTCTTCAAAGTCATCCTGATCGTATTAGCAAATTTTCCCCAAATAATTGTAAAATCTGGACGCATAAAGTGGGTACACCAATTTTTGTGGAAAAACTGTTTATTCGACAACGAAGAATGAGAAAACGTGTTTGGGATTCAATCGAAAGTATTGTCACGTGCTTGAAATTTTTCAAGGTGCTGTTGCGTCTTGTAAAAGTTCGGATGTCACTGTTTTTTCTCATAAAACTTCTAGAGGGTAGTCTGATAGATTATTTAGGAACAAAAAAAGTGTGGATGAAGCACGCTTTTCATGAAATTTTTTTCCCAAAACACTGTATTTTTAGCTGTTCTGTCCACCATTATTTCCTTCGCTATCTGCCATATGACGTAGTCGTCTGTGTACATGTCATATGTGAGAGGCGCTTGCCTGCGGTGTTGCCGGATTGGGCTCCGCACTTATTGAAAAATACGAAAAGTGGAAAATTTGTATACATATATTAATTAATGAATCACAAAAACGAAAATATGAAACAAACAACAGTAGCAAAATAAAAGGTGATTCCTAATAAGTATAAATCAAAAAATTACAGTAGTAAGCTAAAAAATTGTAAATTGTAAATAATTATAAAAAACAAGAAATAAAAACAGTAGTAAAATTCCATGTAATTATAAAAAACAAAAAGAACAAACAGCAGTAAGATATAAAGCAATTCTAAGTAATTATAAAGAACTATAAAGAAAAACGCAGTAAAACAAAAAAAACAACCTCATGTAATTATAGAAAATAAAAGATAACAGACGGTAGAATAAAAAGCATTTTAAGCGATAACAGTAGGAAAAAAACCATATAATTATAAAAAACAAAAAATTACAAATAATAAAATAAAAAGCAATTTGGATGGAATGAAATTGTTTTACGTTTTACTACTGTTTTTACTTTTTGTTTTGTGTTGTCACTTAGAATTGCTTTTTATTCAACTCTTTGTTATTTTTTGTTTTTTATAATTACATGGGTCTTTTTCCTACTGTTATTATTTTTTGTATTCATTTAGAATGCTTTTTATTTTACCGTTTGTTATCTTTTGTTTTCTATAATTACATGGGATTGTTTTTTTTATTTTACTACTATTTTTCTTTTTAGTTTTTTATAATCACTTAGAATTGCTTTTTATTTTACTGCTGTTTGTTCTTTTTGTTTTTCATAATTACATGGAATTGGTTTTTGTTTTACTACTGTTTTCATTTTTTGTCTTTTATAATTATTTACAATTTATCATTTTTTTCTTACTATTGTAATTTTTTGATTTATACTTATTAGGGATCTCCTTTTATTTTGCCCCTTTTTTTGTTTCAGTTTTTCGTTTTTGTGATTCATTAATTAATATATGTATACAAATTTTCCGCTTTTCATATTTTTCCGTATGTGCGGAGCCCAATCCGGCAACACCGCAGGCAAGCGCCTCTCATATATGACATATGCACAGTCGTCTACGTCATATGGCAGATAGCGCAGGAAATAATGGTGGAAAGAACAGCTAAAAATACAGTGTTTTGGGAAAAAAAAGCATGAAAACAACAAAATTGGAAGTACGAAACCCAGGAATTTGAAGAACTTCAAGTATCTGCATGAAACTATTGTCGCATTACCAACAAGTGGTAAAACCTGCATCTTGCCTCTGTTTTCGGCCATAACTTTTTTACTACTAGTCGGATCTTTTTACACGTGGTCTCATTCTGGGGGTCTCATAAATACCTAAAAATCTTACTCGAAGAGTTATTTCGTTCCTGCCAACACTTTCGATTGAATCCCAAAAAACACGTTTTCTCATTCTTTGTTGTCGAATACAAATTTTTCCCACAAAAATTGGTGTACCCATTATATGCGTCATACCTGTCGGTACACAGGGCTGTCAATCACACAACAAATTCTTACTAGAAACATTTCGAGCTTCTATGTCTAATTGTAGTTTTGATTTTGAGGCGAATCTTATAAACAGAAACTTGAACTGTAGTTCTATCGAAGTTCTATACTTGAATTGAAATTTGTTCAATATAATGGAAAAGAAAACTTGACAAACATCAGAACAAGTTCTTAATTCGTGAAGGAATTCGCGAAGAAATTCGTAGATTTATTTGACGTCAAAAATGAAAAAATCCGTGGACATTTACTGTCAAATGTAAAACGGGTTCACTGAAAATCGAACTAAAACTTAAACGTCGGTAACAATACTACTTTGACTGCTGAACCGATCTTTAGGCTTCTTCAAAGGCACAGCATATCCAGCCGCGTACGTAGGACTGCTATCTTGCAGCGTATCCGCGGGTTTCTCGTAAGGTTGAGCGTACAGCACGCTAGACACGGGACTGCCTGGTAGCGCAGGTTTTTCCTCAGGATAGAAATCAGGTTGATTCGGATCCCAAGGTTGCTCTATAAAATTCACGGGTGGCGCATTCTTCAACGGTTCGTGAGTCCTGTACGTTCTGTCGTACCTTCTTCTACCTCCCAGCGAACTAGCGTCGCTTAGCACCGGACTTTGTGGATCGTCATCGTCGGAGTCTGAGCGACCTAGACTCGGAGATCGCTGGACGCTGCGTAGACTTCGGAGTGATTTCGAACGAGGTAGTTCTTCTTGGATAAATTCTAGTTCTTCCTGGCGTATTTTTTCGTATTTTTGAAAACCTTTGAACGCGAGGAATATGACGACGAGTAGCAGCGGTATCAGAACTGCAAGGATTATGCCCCACGTTGTGGCCGCTTGTCGGGACGAGTATTCCTGTTGACCTGAATACATCGTAAGTGAGAATTTTACTTAGGAATTATTGGAGTCGGGAATAGAAGTCGTCAAAGACAAAGCTTTCAAAATACATATTGCAATATCCATTTTACTAACTTTAAGCTACATTAACTTTACGTATCTCAGTCGCTCCGACAATTGTAGGACGCCTTTATGGCCTCCTTGGTTTTCATGGTTTTCTACTGTTCCGTGTCAGCGCTCTATTTTGAGGTTATGTCACAAATCTTTATTAGCATCAAATTGCTCATTATTCTGATTTATATCATCTGTTTCATCAGCGTCAAATGTCATGCAATTCAAAAAGAAAACATAACCTCACAATAGGAGAACTCTGACGTTGACAAGGAACAGTAGAAATCTAAATACCCCGCCATAGTTAACTGTATTATTTCATTATCTTGAATTCTGTATGGCTTTTATTACATTTTGAGAAATCAACTTCTTTCGTATCAGTGCATATCTGGTTACAATCTTAGTTCCCTAAATCCGTAACTTTGCCCCCAACAGCCGAATTTGAAACGCCCGTTATACTCACGTAGACATTCTGTATATCCGTAGTCAGGAATATTCCAAGTGCCATCCGCCTGGCACTCTCTCCTGGGATCTCCGACCAACACGAAGTCTTGGTTACACTCGAAAGTGACCTTGGTACCTGGTACGAACAGGAAGGTGCTCTTCCTTCCGAACCTGGGAGTTTCGAGCACCCCGCAACTCACAATTTTCGTCCTGGTCGTCTCCTTCAGTTGATATATAGTCGCTTTATAGTTTTGAGTGAAATGGGCCAGGTCTCGATTTAGAGTGTTGGCGTAGTCGTAGTAACATTCGTACATTTTTGTGGTGCAGATGTCGTAGGTTCTGGCTACTTGGTCTGATCTGCAAACGAAAAAACTGACTTATACCGGGTGTAACAAGAACAGGGATTTTTCCGAGAAGGCGTTTTTGAAAAAGGTCAAGGTCAGGTATTTCCAAGGAGATCAACGGTAGCTTTAGATTTGACCTTGAGTCTCACCTTCAAGGTTAACTATTTATTTTTTGGCAACACCAATCGAAGATTAAAAAATTCTGTTTCCAAATGTGTATTAAAATCCAAGATGAAGATTACCTTTAAAAGTCAAATACGTAACTAAAATACATACTCCTGGCCGGTACTTCACGACTAATAATTTTTTAACAAGTCAAAAATTTATCAAATCTAACTAAGTTCATTTACTAAAATATACAGGGTGACTTTGAAGTTGAGTCATTAATTTTCAGATAATGATTGTAGAAGGAAGATAAACCAAAATATAAAAATAAAAAAAAATGTTACCTTGTTTTATGAAGTATCCTCCCGACAAGTATTTCAGTGCGGACCTGTATTTGATCGTGCGGTCTTGGAGCACCAGCATGCCCTCTCCTATGAAGTCACCTGATTCACGAGCCCTTTGTACTACATTAACAAAGGCACGAGGGGTTGGTTGCACTCGATTGGGAAACCGATCCGCATAAATCCGTGATGCCGCGGCAGCATTTTGTAAAGACTCCCTCCCGTAAATAAGAATCATGTCCAGAAGTTCAGTATTTTCGTAAACATGTGCCATTTTTTTCCGTTTGAACCACGCAACAAACACCACTATTCACTCACGCGTTGCCGACTGACACATTGACTGAATACAACTGAATAAAATTGTAGTAAAAACATCGTGATAAGCGTTTCGAATTCTGTCGCTTATTTGTTTCCGATGCGATGAACCGATAAGGCGGATTATATCCGTTGTTGCCAAACACGAGCACATAATATTATTATTGAGACAGGGCGGTACTCAAACTTCTGAAGGGCTATAACTTTGTTACTTTAATTTTACCAGAAAAATGTCAAAGGAAAAAAACATTTCTTTTGATCAGATCTACTCACTGTTAAAATAAATGACTCAACTTCGAAGTCACCCTGTATAGTAGCTCTTAGTAAATGAACTAAGTACTTTTTATTTATTTGTCGTCTAAACCCGACTTTCTTGGTGTTATCTTACCTATTCGCCGGTATAATGTCTTCTGGCACCATATGGAACTCCGGTTTGAACGTCTTGTTGTTGTAATGCGAAGAACTTTTTCCGAATTCTCTGTGGAACAGCGCGCGACCTTTCAGCGGATCCAAAACGTCGTCGATCATCCATTTCTTACCAAAATCGTTGTAAACGCGCTCCATATCGTTGATGTTCGTCGCTACGGATACTTTGGTGCCGTCTGGCAAAGTGAAGTCGTCTTCTTGCTTGAAACTCCAGTTGCCGAAGAGACCCACCGTTTTGTTCTGGAAGAGATATCAAAATACAAATTGGTTAAGGCTTTCGCGGCCAGTTGATAAACTACTGTCTTGATTCGGGTCCAACGGCCGTCGTCGGTTGGAATTTCTTCCTATCGTTTCGCTAGCACGAGTGGCAAGCTTCTTCAGAGGTCCTTTCATTTCCGATGGTACCGCTGAGGGAATGCCTAGATCTGGTGAGCAGGTTCTTCTCTTCTGACATCTGCAAGCTCTTTGAAATCTGTCTCACTGGAAGCTACTTCGTATGGGACGGGGCTTTTATGAGCAGACGGACGGAGTGACAATGGGAAGTCCACTTAGCCCTGTCATAGCCAACCTTTTTATGGAACACTTTGAGAAGAAGGCGGTTGAGACATCGGAGAACAAACCAGCAATTTGGTTCCGGTACGTGGACGACACCTTCGTGATTTGGAAGCATGGCACGGACAGGCTAAACGAGTTTCTGCAGCACCTCAACGATCGGCATCCAAGCATACAATTTACCATGGAGATAGAGAGTGACCAACAACTGGCCTTCTTGAACTGACTAGTCAGGAAGCGAGGTAACAAGCTGGGTCACACAGTGTACAGGAAACCAACGCACACAGACAGATACCTGCACGCTTTCTCCAATCATCACCCAAGTCAGAAGTATGGAGTCATCAGAACCCCGACAGAATGAGCTCGAAGGATTTGCGAACCGGAGAACCTCCAGATAGAACTTGAAGAGGGATATCGAAAGATCAATGGGCTCGAGATCAACCAGGCCACGTGAAACCGAACATCGTCCCACCACCTCTCAAGCGTATCTTCCATTTGTGCCAAGAGTCACGGACAGGATTGGCAGAGTCCTGGTGAGACATGACATTAAAACAATCTTCAAGCATACGAAGAACATCCAACAAACCATCAGATCGGCAAAGGACAAGAAGGACCCACTCTCAGCTGCAGGAGTCCAGACTCTACCCATTACTGAGTAGACACAGCCGGATACCGCTAGCGACCAAGTTACGGCTGATCAAGGCCATCGCCAGACCTCAGCTCGCTTATGCCTCCGCGGTCTGGGGGTATGCTGCTCCCAGCTACCGCAAGCGACTTGCTGCTCAAGAAGAAACTCAACCTTGCGTAGAGACCTGCACTGGGACACCATCCACGAGTACACGAGGAAAAAAGCAGAGAAGACCTTCCAGAAAGCTCAGGACCACCCGTACGAGCAACTACGACTCCTCATGGACTACGATCCGGACGAGAGGCCTCGCAACCGCAGAGCCAAGTACCCTAGACCCAAGTCACAGTTGGCAGACGCTAACTGGAACCTTGACTAGGAGTACCCGCGGTTGCTCTCCCCTTCCCCCTCCACGGCGTAGATGCAGAGGACCAAGAACCACCGGGACCAGGACCCACCGGGACCAGGACCCACCGGGACCAGGACCCACCGGGACCAGGACCCACCGGGACCAGGACCCGCCACGACCAGGACCCACCAGGACCAGGACCCGTCAGGTCCAGGACCAGGAACAATATATAGGTAAGAGGACTTGAAACTCTTGATTTTTCGAAAACAAGAGTTTCAAGAGAACCTAGCAGACCCTCTATCGATGATCGCTTAACGACATCGATAGAATGTGCGATGTAAAGGGAACCAATTCGGCGTTCCCAGAGACTGAAACACATGAGGAGACGTTTTAGCAGACCGCAGGTCACGCACAACACATGGCCTTACCGAGACGCGATGAGTCGGGCCACACAGAGGTTAGGGTTTAGTGGGTATTAGGTAGTCTCCTCAAGACAACCTGGAGTCCCACACACGCCATAGCTCGGGCTATGGTAAGGTGCGTAAATGCATCCCACCCTCACAAAAAAAAAAAAAAAATCGTCAGTCTACATCCAGCTTCGGAAGTGGAAGGACCTCTAAAGAAGATTGCCACTCGTGCTAGCGAAACATTAGGAAGAAATTCCAACCGACCACGGCCTTTGGACCCGAATCAAGACAGCAGGATATCAAAATAGTCGAAAGCTCTATAGTGATTATAAATAGTTTAATGCAATGAACGGTTAGATAATTTGGGGTACTTTTATTTTTTCGTTTGGAGAATTTTCAGAAACTACAAAGCTCTTTCTACTATGCATAGTAATCTTGTGTAAACATTTTATCGTATGGTGACATAGTTGGTTTAAAACTGATTTCCGAAATCTTTTAACATCTTGGATACTAATGTACGTTATTTTCAATTTTCACAAAAACTACTGGGCTTTTAAAAGATGGTTTTGTAGCTCCTTATGCTCGTGGCTCAATATAAATTCTTATTTTTATCCTTGGGAAGTTGTTATTTTGGGATATCTTTCCCCCGTGTGTTCATAAATGTTTAATGATATCATCGGAAAATATATTTCTTTGCCTTTGAAGTGTATTTATTTTTCCTTGATGTCCACGTGCAATATACAGCAATTCCGCAGGATTCGGAAGAATCAACATATTGAAAACTTACAATGAATGACCAAGGTAGATATACCCTGGATGTCATGAATCCTTGGTTGTCAAGTACTTCTACTCCTGCGCCGTTATCGAACATAATAATGACCTCAGATTGGTTCAGAACGTATGTTGGCGTATAGATCGTGACACCTGAAAAATATTACATATAATAATGATAGTATTCGTCTTTATTCAAACTATACAGGGTGTCCCACTAGTAAAGATAGAGAGTTGCGATTTTCGCAATGCTATGGTACTTTTTTGTGAAATGGAAGATGGTAAAAACAAAATTTCCGTAGCCCACTTCGTTTCTGAGATACAGTGCGAAATTGAAAATATTGCATTTTGAAAGGCCGCTTGTATCTCCGATATCTTTTAACACATCGCAAGGCTAAAAACAGCTTGTCATACAATTTTTCACGTAGAATCCAGTGATACAGTCAGATTTTTCCTATGAGGTGTCAATTTTTAGCTATAAATCAAACTTAGTTTTTTTTAATGAGACACCCTGTATAATCTTTCTCGTTTTCTCGTCCCTATACGAAACTTTTGGTAAGTATTGTATAAGTATTAGTAGGCCGTGGTTAGTAGAACAATGTAATGATTATTTGCTAAGCCGTTGTCAAAACGCGTCAGTGTAATACAGGGTGTAAACGTCATTATTCAAATGGATGTTGTCTAAGGTCTGTTCCAAAAGTTCTGGTAGGTTAATGGCTAGAAAGCTAACTGACAACTTTGGGGGTAACTCGAAAGGGAGAATTACTTGATCGTCAAGAATACCCGCCCAAATATTTATTTTAAAACGTTGTTGGAAACGACCTTCACGAATGGTATGAGGATTTTCTTGGGCCCACGTGTGAGTATTAAGGAAATTTAATATCCCGTTTCGCGTAAAAGTATATTCCCAGATATCATGTGCTATATGTTTCTGTAAAGCTTATAAAATTTTCAATCAAACGAGAAAAATATACAGGGTGTCCCATTAAAAACATGTTTCATTTATAGCTAAAACTAGTCAGCTCACAACAAAAACTTGACCGCCACTACATTCCACGTAAAAAACTGTGTGAGTGCCAGTTTTTAGCTCTGCGATATGTTAAAGGGTAACGGGGAGACGAGGGGGTAGCAAAAAGCAATTTTCTCACAGAAACGAAGGGAACTATGAAAACTATATACATAGCGTGTGTCTTTTGTCAAAAAAGGAGCTTAGTATTGCAAAAATCGAAACTCTCTATCATTACTAGTAAGTAATATCATCGAAAATGGGACACCCTGCACAATTTAATGCAGAAAAAGAGGAGGGTTGCAAATCGTAGTAAAGTTGAGAAACACGCTACTTAGTCTAATCATATTAGCAGATCTTTCCGAAATAATTGTAAAAGCTAGTTTTATTGGTGCAAGTTGTTCAAAGGGGGTATTTGAAATATGGACGTATAAAATGGGTATACCAATTTTTGTGGGAAAACTTTTTATTTGACAACAAAGAATGAGAAAACGTGTTTTTTTGGGAATCAATCGAAAGTGTAAACTTTTTGTATGAGATTTTTAGATATTTATGGGACCTACAAAATGAGACCACACATAAAAACATCCGACTAATAGCAGAAACGTTACGGCCGAAAAACTAGGCAAAATGCAGGTTTTGGCACTTGTTGGTAATGGGACAATAATTTCACGCAACTACTTGAAATTCTTCAAATCCATAGGATTCATACTTCTTAATAACAACAACAAAATTGGAGTAAACGGGAAATTGTCGACTGATGAGGCACTTCGTTGCCGAAAACAGACAGTAACACAGCAAGGCATTCTTGTTGTGATAAGTTGTAATAAATTATGGCGCGAAAATGTTCTCGGTTGAGTTCCATTTTTCTAATGACTTGGTGACGCTTCAAAATTCACTGTAGTGAGAACATTGCACGTATCGTTGCGAAACTTTGAATTTAAGTGTACTGAAGAGTGAGGTTAAGATTCAGGACGTTCGATCCGCGTGGCTCTCTATGTTTCTATATGCAAAACTTAACAGACATCCCTCGTATTGGTCAAGTAGTTTTCTGAGAATTTCTAATTGTTTATCCCAAAACGGCTGTTTTCCGGCCATCACTACTAGTTTATTGAGCAATATAAGGGTTAGTTTAAAGGGAATTGTATAGCTTTACCAGCTTGAACAACTTGCAGTAAAAAAACAAAGTTTTCAATGTACACAAAGGGAGAAAAGTTAGTCAAAAACAAGAGCAATAGGTTTGAACTATGGATGCAAGCTGATTTGAGGTTTATCAGCAATTTAAATAAATTGCAGGACTCTAAGTATTATATAAAACTACAGCACTTAAAGAACGATGAAAAAACGCTGTAAAGTGAATAGGTGTAGTTATCAGATTTGGTAAATATAATATGTCTGTCATGTATACAGGGTGTCCCAGAAGTCGACATCAAGCCGAAACCGGGTGATAGGCAAAGTCATAACAGCTATCAGAAAAATATATAAAAAAATTTTATGAATGTGTTTTGAAAATTATAGGTCTTTGAAAAAGATATAGAAATTTCACACCCTACGGCAGTCTGTCAACTCCTGTTACTACAAATATTAACTTTTTTTGGATTTTATTTTTACAATGTAATGATGAATAATGCATCTTCAAATTGGTGTCTCAACCTTACTGCCAACTTTTCTCGTTCAGGAAAAATTGCCACTTATTTCCCAACCAAGTATTCCAAAGTAAAACTTTGCTCAACTTTAACTGGCTGTACTGGAAAAAATGTACTACGAGAGTTTGGCAAGTAACCTTAAAAGTTGGCGCATTTAATAAGGATTCCAAAATGGTATAACACTTAGAAGATTACTCGTTAACTTATGCACAATTTTTATTTGAAGAAAAACTGATGAAAATTTTTCAAAATTTCCTAATTAAACAGCGATTATGAAAACGCACAAGGACCCTTAAGGATAACTGTTTGCACAACAGTGGGCGTCAAAATGCTGCTGATAATGATTTACCTTTACAGCAAATGCTCAAACTGTTTTCCTTCAGCCGCAATACACGCTCGACATCTTCTTAAAAAAGATCGGGTTATTAAACGAGCGAATCCACGGTTATTAACAAACTCAGCTGCTTCCAATAGTCTTTGCCGCAGCTCAGATACATTTTGAATCGGCTTGAAATACGCTTTTTCTTTTACAGTTCCCCAGTAAAAAAATCTAAAGGATTCAAATCAGGTGATCGGGCTGGCCACGGTATTGTACCAGACCGCCCTATCCATCTGCCTGGAAAGTTTTGATCGAGATACTCTCTCACTGAGAGTGCATAGTGTGCTGGGCAGCCATCATGCTGAAACCATATGTCCCTGTAAATACTCAGTGGCATGTCCTCCAATAAATTGTCTAAATGATTTTGCAAAAAAACCTAAATAAACCTCAGCAGTCAAAGTCTCTGGGAACTCAAACGGACCGATTATTTTACCATTAAAAATTCCTGTCCAATGGTTTATCTTGAAGCGATATTGAGATTTATCTTCTCTCATCAAATGTGGGTTTGCTACGTGCCAAGTTATGCAGGTTCATGTACCCATCTTTCTTAAATGTGGTCTCATCTGACCATAAAATTTTTCAAAGAACCGTGGATCTTCCCTTTGTCTTTCTAACATTGTGCGACAAAAAGCAACTCGGGGCTCATAATCCCGGGGCAGAAGAGTTTGAACACGCTGTACGTGGTATGGATGGAGCACATTTTTTTGCAAGATTCTATGGGCTGTACTTTTGGGCACACCTGTTTTTAGTTCTATTGCACGCACTGAAGTACTCGGGTCTTCTTCGACAGTTCCTAGCACCACGTCTTCGTAAGGAAGGAAAGATCTTCCCTCACCGTGTGATTGGTTTGGTAGTTGGCCCTCTGAGAACAGTAAGCGGTGCACATTTGTGAACACTCGATGATGACGAGCTGCATTCGGGTACCTCTCACAGTAAAGTCTCGCTGCAGCATTAGCGTTGCATCTGCATTCCCCATAAATGAGGTGCATGTTAGCATATTCTTGTACGGTGTACACGGACATAGCGGCACTGCACAATCACACTATCAAAGATAGTCTAAGGAAAGCAAATGTTGTTTTGAAGAGCAATTAAACAGTCCAAATCCAAATCACAAGCGATCAACAGTCCAGTTCACGAATCCAAAATTAGTAACAGTACGAAATCAACAAGCACGAACATGTAAAGATGCGCAGTAAACGAAGGAGTACTGATCGGTATCAAAGTGTGCAATAGCAAGTAAGTGATGTGCTTCATCCATACCACATACAGCGTGTTCAACCTCTCCTGCCCCGGGATTATGAGCCCCGAGTTGCTTTTTGTCGCACAATGTTAGAAAGACACAGGAAAGATCCACAGTTCTTTGAAAAAATTTTATGGTCGGATGAGACCACATTTAAGAATGATGGGTACATGAACCTGAATAACTTACACGAGTGGCACGTAGCAAACCCACATTTGATGAGAGAAGATAAATCTCGACATCGCTTCAAGATAAACCATTGGACAGGAATTTTAAATGGTAAAATAATCGATCCGTTTGAGTTCCCAGAGACTTTGACTGCTGAAGTTTATTTGGATTTTTTGAAAAATCATGTACAAAATTTATTGGTGGACGTGCCACTGAGTATTAACAGGGACATGTGGTTTCAGCATGATGGCTGCCCAGCGCACTATGCACTCTCAGTGAGAGAGTATCTCGATCAAAACTTTCCAGGCAGATGGATAAGGCGGTCTGGTACAATACCGTGGCCAGCCCGATCACCTGATTTGAAACCTTTAGATTTTTTTACTGGGGAACTGTAAAAGAAAAAGTGTATTTCAAGCCGATTCAAAATGTAGCTGAGCTACGGCAAAGACTATTGGAAGCAGCTGAGTTTGTTAATAACCGTGGATTCGCTCGTTTAATAACCCGATCTTTTTTAAGAAGATGTCGAGCGTGTATTGCGGCTGAAGGAAAACAGTTTGAGCATTTGCTGTAAAGGTAAATCATCATCAGCAGCATTTTGACGCCCACTGTTGTGCAAACAGTTATCCTTAAGGGTCCTTGTGCGTTTTCATAATTGCTGTTTAATTAGGAAATTTTGAAAAATTTTCATCAGTTTTTCTTCAAATAAAAATTGTGCATAAGTTAACAAGTAATCTTCTAAGTGTTATACCATTTTGGAATCGTTATTAAATGCGCCAACTTTTAAGGTTACTTGCCAAACTCTCGTAGTACATTTTTTCCAGTACAGCCAGTTAAAGTTGAGCAAAGTTTTACTTTGGAATACTTGGTTGGGAAATAAGTGGCAATTTTTCCTGAACGAGAAAAGTTGGCAGTAAGGTTGAGACACCAGTTTGAAGATGCATTATTCATCATTACATTGTGAAAATAAAATCCAAAAAAAGTTAATATTTGTAGTAACAGGAGTTGACAGACTGCCGTAGGGTGTGAAATTTCTATATCTTCTTCAAAGACCTATAATTTTCAAAACACATACATAAAATTTTTTTAAATATTTTTCTGATAGCTGTAATGACTTTGCCTATCACCCGGTTTCGGCTTGACGTCGACTTCTGGGACACCCTGTATAATGCCTAAGGATCAGCTTTTCTCTTAAGTGGAGGCTTAGACATGAATTCTCGTTTATAAATCAGTACGAGTAGGTAATATCATTTGACAATATAATTTAAATAGTTCCATCAAGAGTGTAAATTGTTTAAGACCGCACCGCAGACAGGCAAACATGGACATCTGCGGTCTAGGCTTGGTCTCTGAGACAAAAAACGAAATCATAGCAAGCATAGTGACTGACCTTGAAAATGCTGGAATTTCAAGGACGGCCTATCAAAGAACAATCTTCTACCGTCTGCAATGACGTCCAGTCTGTATCTCCATCTAGCATCCATAGGTCTTCTGCGAACTTCTACTGCTATGGTACCGTTGCCTCTAGCTACAACTGATGTTAGTTGCGTTGCCTTTACCTACAAAATCGATCGATAGTCTTCGACATTGGATTTGTAAAAGATAGTCAAAATAGCTCAGCCTCGTCTGGTAAACCATTACCTTGCCTTACTATTCGTCAGAGCGGTCCGATGGACCTTTTCTCTTAGTTAAAGATCTGATTTACACAAAGCAACATGTGATCCTAGCCTGAGCGCGTGATATTTACCTCGCCGTACGCATTCGGTTCCATCTGTTCGAAACGACCTTGAACTTCCAAATTGTCAGTTTGGGTTCGTGACTTGACCAACACGAACTCCCCTTTGCCGTTGAACGTGTATTCCACGTCGTCAAAGGTGACAAAATGCGGGTCTCCGTATACTCCGGCAACACCTGGGGCTTGGTACGCCACGCAGTCTTGCGTCGGTCGTCTTTCAAACCTGTTTAGAATAAAAATTAGAGCCTTCAATGATAAAAATGAAATGCGGAATGGAAAATCAGAAAAAGGTGAAAAAGAAGAAGGGTTCTTGTAGACATTATCCATACCTGGAGCCGCCTGGTACTGATCACGTTCTGAGCGAATTTGTCAATTTTTATTTGGAGTATTATTTTGCCATGAACCGTTTTCCAAAAAATATCTCGTGAATCCAGTTTTTGATCGCCCTCTCATGTGTTCTCGTACACATTTTATAAAATTAAATTCTAACACCAATCTCACCGACGGACTCCTGATGATGACAGCACAGATTATCGAAAGCTTGAGTTGTAAGTCAAAAGGGTTGAATCGCATATACACCTATACAGGGTGTTTCAGTTTATTGTTGCATAACTTTAAGATTCGATAGAACTTTTAAAATTAATGCATAAAGTCTATATAAACATGGGTCGAAAAATGCGTGGCTTCCGAAATACAGGGTGTTTAAATTTTCTTTCTAAAATAGTTTTTTTAAAATATTTCGAACAATATTTGATGTATAACAGTGAAAATTGTTATACAAGGGTTTTTTGGTACGGCAAAACGAACCATGGGCATAGTTTTACTGTAGCCGCTAGAGGGCGCTCTCTACTGTACCTGTAGTGTATTAAAATGACCGAAAAAAATTTCTTAGTGCAATTTCTTGCTTTTCGAATGAAAAAACTGATTCTTCGCACTTTTCTGCATAAAAAAGCTCCCCTGTGAGTTTTCGTTATAGTTAGCCGTTTTTGAGATATTTCGATTTTTAAGGTTCGATGCATTTTTAATTATTTATGGGAAAATAATATTTTTTTTTTACATTTTCGATTTGGGCATTACAAGTAATTAAGATGATCGTTTAGATTGTGTTTTTAAACACAGCAATAATTCCTAACTCCAAATAAACACAAAAAACAGAATATTAATTTGTTTAATTTTCCAATATTATTTTTAACAAATTAAATTAATTATTTACAACTAAAATGATATTGGATAGTTAGGACAAACATACAACATCTAAAGTAGTTGCTCGAAATGTAAACCCAATTGTTCAATACACAATTCACATCTACGAATGATCGAACGTGGTATACCATTATTCAAATAAGGCCTTATTTCATCACATGCATTCCTGATTCTGTCTATTATATGTATAGTATATTATTCAAAAAGCAAAAAATTGCACTAAGAAAATTTTTTCGGTCATTTTAATACACTACAGGTACAGTAGAGAGCGCCCTCTAGCGGCTACAGTAAAACTATGACCATGGTTCGTTTTGCCGTACCAAAAAACCCTTGTATACCAATTTTCACTGTTATACATCAAATATTGTTCGAAATATTTAAAAAAAACTATTTTAGAAAGTAAATTTAAACACCCTGTATTTCGGAAGCCACGCATTTTTCGACCCATGTTTATATAGACTTTATGCATTAATTTTAAAAGTTCTATCGAATGTTAAAGTTATGCAACAATAAACTGAAACACCCTGTATACTAAAGGGCATATAAAATGCAAAACCGACTAGGAGTGCTGTAATTTTGAGCATACTGTGACGAATAGTTCTGTTGGCGCCATCTGTTGGGCGAGTCTCCTAATTTCCAGAGCTTAATGGCCACCTCTGCTTTTACGCGAACCACGACCGCACAAGCCGCCTGGCGGCGTCTGTGAGGACCGCGGCAGTGCCTCGCCTTCTAGAAAGACGCGAAGCAGCCTCGACTATTCGGGAAAGCCGCTATGTGGCTCCCGATTCTTCTAGACTCAACGATGCGGACTATATAACTCGGCGGCCGGGAGATGGAAGGAGAGTACTGAAAATACGGTAGAGTAGCAGAGCGGAGTGGAGCATAGTGCAGTCAATGGCGACATAAGAATTAGTCAGACATAAATAGTGGTGTATATAAATGTTTTATCAGGTTAAATAAATCAGTGCATTTCTTTTGGTGGAATCCAGTGTTTTAATCCACACCCAAAATAACTGAGAAAGACGCTACAATACTTTCACACAAGGTACAATAATGAATTAATACCAGAGTACCCAAGATTATCGAAGACTAGACACGGAAGTAATTTCGTAAACAAAATTTCATCACCATGTACCTCGGTAGGGGAGCATTCTCGGACCCATATGTATAGAACATTTTTTTTGTTATTTTTGGATGTACTTCCTACCTCAAAAATATTGGCACAGAATAAGTTTTAGGAGTTACATTCAATTTTTCCTCCTTACGAAATACCTTATTATTACTATTGTACTTTTTGGTATCTATCAAATTCCTCCAAACCTGAGAGTTTCGCATCCCACTGACTGTTCCTCCTGCCACAGGCAGCACAGGTACTTGGGCACCATATCGTTGAACCATTGCGACAGTGTCGGCACCTTGGTGGCTTCGTTGTAAGGCATCTTGCCGAGATTGTGGCATCTTCGTGGACTGGAACCCCATTGCTGATCGTAGGATAACATCAGGTAGCCGTTTTTGTCGTAACAGCATTGCTGTTCGGAGCCTTCTAGCCTAGAAGAAGTTTTCAGAATGTTTAGGTAATTTTTTTTTGATGTAATGTGGCTATGATGCTTTTAAATGTGAAATTGTGCCATCAAAGTGTTTATTTCTTTAAGTGTTGACGTTGTCTATGGTTACTATCGTAATATCGGAAACCGTAGGACAATAATCTTCCAGTACTCTGAGCGCTTTCAAAACATTTAAAATTCTCAAAATGAAAAAATTTCAAAATCGGTTCTAGCCAAAAGTTTTCGGAAACTTAAAATAGTCAGTATGTTCAGAACGTCAATTTATAGGTTTTGAAAACTTTCAAATTTGTCCTGTAGGGAGCATGCACCAGACGATTTGCATAAGTACAAAATCAATTTTTTGAAAATTCTGGAAATTTCGGAAATTCCAAAAACTCAAATAATTAAAAAAATTACAAGATTCCAAATATTTCGAATATTCCAGAAGTTTAGAAAATTCTGAAACTTTCGAAAATTCTGGAAACCTCCAAAATTTGGATAAGTCAGAAAATTTGTAAGATTTCAAAAATTCGAAAAAAATACGTGTATTCCGAAAATTTCAAAGATTCAAAAACAAGGCAAAAAGTTAGAAATTTCAGAAAATTTCGAAATATCTGTAAATTCTGAATGTTCCAAAAATATCAAAAATTTCAGAAAGTCAAAAAATCCAGAATATCCAGGATTTTTTGAAAATTCTGAAAACTCCAGTAAATTCAGAAAATTCACAAATTCTCATTAGTTCCAAAAAATTCTCACAAATTCCAGAAATTCAGAAAATCAAAAAATTTGAAAAATTCGAAATATTCAGAAATAATCCCAAAATCTTTGGTTGTTCCGAAAAATTCAAAAATTCCGAAAGACCCGAAAATTCCGAAAATTTTATGGTTTTCTGAATTTTTAAATCTTCCAAAACTTCCAGAACTGTAAATGCCTTCAAAACATTTAAAATTCTCAAAACTATAAAATTTTTAAAATCTGGACTTTCAAAAACTTAAAATTGTCGATAGTTTCAGAATGTCAAGTTACAGGTTTTAAAATTTTCATATTTGTCCTGTGGAAAGGATGCACCAGACGATTTGCATAAGTACAAAATCAATTTTTTGAAAATTCTGGAAATTTCGGAAATTCCAAAAACTCAAATAATTAAAAAAATTACAAGATTCCAAAAATTTCGAAAATTCCCAAAGGATTGTGTGTATTCCGAAAATTTCAAAATTACAGAAATAATAAATTCTAAATATTTAAAAAAATTTAAAATTCCAAAAAGTTCAAAATTTTCGAAAATTACAAAAGTTGCTGGAATTCCTGGTATTCCGAAAGTATAATTAAAAAAAATCCGGAAATTTTGAAAATTCCAAAAAGTTCAAAATATTTGAAAACTCCAAAAGATAGTGGCATTCCTGATATTCTGAGAACTTCAAAAATTCCATAGATTCAGAAAATTTTCAAAATTCCAAAAGTTTCTGAAACTTTCAAAAATTTTGGAAATTTCAAAGATTTAGATGTCAGATAATTTGCAAGAGTTCAAAAATTCGCCAAAAATTACGTATATTTCGAAATTTTCAAAGATTCAATAATTTCGAAATAACCAAAAACTTTGAATATCCCGTAAATTTCAGAATATTCGAAAATTCCAAAAAGGCAATAAGTTTGAAATTTCAGAAAATTTAGAAAATTCCCACAAATTCCACAAATATTTGCATATTTTCCGAAAATCCGAAAATTACAAAAATTCCGAAATAACCAAATTCTTTGGTTGTTCCGAAGAATTCGAAAATTCCGAAAGACCCGAAAATTCTGAAAATTATATGGCTTCCTGAATATTGAAATATTCCAAAACTTTCAGAACTGTAAATGCTTGCAAAATATTTAAAATTCTCAAAACTATAAAATTTTCAGAAACTGGACTTTCAAAAACTTAATATATCAATCAATCAATATATTCAGAAAGTCAATTTACAGGTTTTGAAAATTTTCATATTTGTTCTGAGGGTAGGAATATCAAAAATCTTCGTTTTGTACTAAAGTATATTATTGTATATTTACTTTTTACGCTTTGAAGGACTTTAAGCACTGCCTGCGGCCGATATTTCTAAAAATGGTGAATGCGCTTGCTAAATTGATATGACAAACAGGTAAAATTAAAGAAAATACGTTAGTCTTGTTTCGTAATGATACCTGTGATCATGATAGAGTACATACACATCTACGTTTTGGAAAGCTTTCTTACCACTTCCGGATTGAAGTGTATTAACGTAAAATCTGTGGGCGACATTTATGAAAAATGGTGAATGCTTCCAATAAACTGAGTAAACCGGTGAAATTGATGAAAAAGCGTTATTCTCTCTTACTAATTTTTCTCTATGAGTTTGAGATGGAATATTAACAACCTATGTTTTGAGAGCCTTCCCTATCACTTCCGGACTGTATTAGCGCAAAATCTGTGAAAAATATTTGTGAAAAGTGGTGAATGTGCCTACTGATTGGTAAAACCGCGGTATTCTTGTAACCTGGTGTTCCTTGTGATTCTGAGAGGAAATTTTAAAAACCTGTGTTTTGAACGCCTTTCTAATCGAATTCGGAAAATTTTGAAATGCAGATAATTTCGGGAATTCTAAAAACTCAACACATTCAAAAAATTTACAAGAATCCAAAAATTTCGAAAATTCCCAAAGACTGTGGATATTCGGAAAATTCCAAAAGTTCAGAAAATTGAGTATATTCCGGAAATTTAAAAATATAGCAACAACAAAAAATTCTGAATATTCTGAAAATTTCGGAAATTCCAAAAGGTTCAAAATTTCCGAAAACTCCAAAAGATGCTGGAATTTCTGATGTTCCGAGAGTTTTGAAAATTCCGGACATTTTGAATATTGAAAAAAAAGCGAAAACTCCAAAAAGTTCAAAATTTCCGAATACTTCAAAGGATGCCTGATATTCTAAAAGTTTCAAAATTCCGAGAATTTTTAAGATTCAAAATATTTCTAAGATTCTAATAATTCAGAAAATTTACAAGATTCCAAATATTCCCAAAAAATTCCGTAAATGTGGAAAATTGCGTATATTCCGAAATTTTCAAGAATCCTAACAATTCCGAAATAACCAAAAACTCTGAATATTCCGTGAATTTAAAAAAATTCGTAAATTCCTAAAAGGTAAGAGAGTTCAAAGGTTCAGAAAATTTTAAGAGATCTGAAAATTCCAAAAATACCATAAATTTCGGAAATTCCAAAAATTCAGAATATTCCGATTCTTTTGAAAATTCTGACAACTCCAGAAATTCAGAAAACTTACAAGATTCCAAAAATTCAGTAACTTCCAAAAATTCCGAATCTTTGGAAAAGTCAAAAAATTCTGAAGATCTCAAAAATTCTGGAAACTCCAACAGATCCCACAGATTCTGAAAATGACATATTCCGAAATTCCAGAAAATCGGGAAATTCCAAAAATTCAGAAAGTTCCGAAGATCCATAAAATCTGGATATTCCGAAAAGCTCGAAAATTCCGAAAGATCCGGTAATTCAGAAAATTTTATCGCCTCCTAAATTTTGAAATCTTTTCAAAATATTTAAAATTCCCAAAATATTAAAATTTCCAAAATTTGGACTTTCAAAAACATAAAATGGTCAATATATTCAGAAAGTTAATTTAAAGCTTTTGAAAATTTTTAAATTGGTTCTGTGGAGAGGATGCTTCAGCAAAAAGTCAGTTTTCAGAAACATGCGTTTTTATTGTTTTTTTCCGATTTTTCCTAGGAATATGTGTAGGAATATTAAAAATCTTCGTTTTGGACCAATATTTGTGAAAAGTGGTGAACGTGCATACAAAACGAATTTGGAAAACTATGTGTAATTAAAGGAAATGCGTTATTCTTATTACCTGGTGTTGTTTATGATTGTGAGAGGAAATATTGAAAGTCTGTGTTTTGAAGGTCTTTCTTATCAATTTCAGACAGAAGCGTATTAGCATGTAACCTACGTTTATGGAAAATGGTGAAAGCGCACACTAAGCTTGGTAAACTGATAAAACTTGCCCCATAATTGAAAATATTTTGACTGTATTGCAATAGTTGCTTGCAATAGTTGCTTCATACTTAGAATGTGTATTTTTTGTACCTTTCACGATATTTATATGTTGCAATATTGTATTCTCCTTAGTTACCGATATTGTTGAAGTCCTTTTTGTTATTATTGCTATTATTACTACGAGTATTCTAAAGTCGTCAGGTAGCTTGGGTAGCACTACTTGCGAAACGCTTTAGGGTTATAAAAATCATTTTGAAATGTTGTTTCTCGGACTCTTCTGTCTATGATTTTTTCTGTTTTAAAGCACCTTATACACAATGGAGTCCGAAAGCCAACACTGTCAACAAATTTCAAACAACGGCTAAAAAATCATTTTAACACTCTTGTATTTACTTACGTGGGTGCCCCAGTTTTGACACAATGCAACGCCTGGTTGTTGTAGTAACATATCGGGTTCGTATCCTTGTCACAATCGAAATCTGGCATGAACCTTCCTCGATCAGCGAGAGCCTGTTGGACAGTGCACGGACATTGAGCCAGTTCGTGGGCAAAGTTCTTGAGGTATCTGTCGGTTCTGAGCCAGTCGTCGCAAAGGTACTTGGGCCAGTTCTTGCCGTACATGTTCTCCCATTGGAACTGGAAGTACCAGCCTAGAGGGAGCGGTCGGCTCCAGACCAGCGGAGTGATCTCTATGCTTCGTTGTGTTGTAGTATACGTGTTTACCTGAAAGTTAGTTAGGGGAAGATATTTCATACGTAAATTTGTATGATATTGATGTTTTCAGCATTCACAGAATTTACAAAAATTTAGAGGAATTCCAGCAATTACAAAAATATAACTATTCCGACAGTACCGACAATTTCAAAAATTACGAAAATACTAAAGATTTTGGGACATCAAGATCTAGACAAATTCGAAGATTCCAAAATTCCACGAAATCCAGAAAATTCGAAACCTTTGAAACACTGAAAATTCGAAAACGCTGAAATTTCAGATGATTCCAAAGATTGCTGAGCATTCCTAAAATTTTGAAAACTCGGATAATTCCAAAAATTCTGAAAATTCTGAAGATTACAAAACTTCCAAAATTTTCCAAAACTTAGAAAATTTAAAAAAACTTGAGAAAATCTCGATGAAATCGAAGATTCCAAAATTCCACAAATCCGAAAATTCGGAAAATGCAGAAAATTCCGAAAATTCCAAACGTTGCTGGAATTCCTGAAATTTCGAAAATTCCGGAAATTCCAAGCTTCTTAAAGATTCTGAAAATTTAGAATTTTTCAAAAACTCAAAAATTTGGGAATTTCCAAAACAATTTACAAGATTCCAAAATTTCCAAATATTCCCAAAAGATTCCGTATATGTATTCCAAAAATTCCGAAATAAAAAAATCTGAATACATATACCCAAAAATTCGAAAATCCCAAAATGTTCAAAATATCTGATAATTCTAAAAGTTGCCGAAATTCCGAAGATTAAAAAAATTCAAAAATTCAACAAATTTAAAAGATTAAAAACAAATTCAAAAATTCAAACAAATAAAAAAATAAAAAAATAAAAAAAAAACAATTGAAAAAATGAAGAAAAAAAATTCAAAAAGGCAATAAAGTAAAAAAAATTAAAATTCAAGCATTTAAAAAAATTTTAAGAATCGAAAAAATAAAAAAAAAAAATACTAAAATTAAAAAAATTACAACAATTATAAAAATCTAAAAAATTCAAAATACCACGTGTGGACGGAATATTACTCATAAACAAATTCATTTTGGAAAAATCTATTTATGGCATGTTATATATAACATTTGAAGGCACATTTCTAAACTTCATAGTATGTTATATCAATATTCTTCTTTTGGATTGGTTTATCCAAATATGCAATAAAATTCGAGGCATTCCGTTCAAAAAATCACAACTTTGATATGTAGTTCGAAATTGGGACTATAATGGCCAATATTTTAGAAATGTGCCCTCAAATGTCATGTATAACATGTAATAAATAGATTTTCCCCAAAATGTATTTGTTTATGAGTAATATTCCGGCCACCCCAAAATTCAAAAATTTTCAAAGATTCAAAAAATTCAAAATTTCAAGAAAATCAAACAATTTGGGAAATTGAAAAATTCGAAAAAATCAAAAATTTCAGAGAATTCAAGAAATTCATGGAATTCAAAAAATTCAAATACAAAAAATTGCAGAAAATTAAAAAAGACAATATATTAAAAAAAATCAACAAACCCAAGAAATCCAAAAAATCCAATTATTTCAAGAAATTCAAAGAATTTAAATGCTTCAAAAATTCCAAAAAGACTAAGAGTTAGAAAAAATTCAAAGATTAAAAACATTCCAAAGATCAAAAAAATTCCTAAAATTCCAAAAATTCCAGGAATTCTAAAAATTTAAAAAAATTCAAATTTTTTAAAAATTCCGACAATTCTAAAGATTCAAATAACACCAAAAAATTTGAGATTTTAAAATTTCCAAAAATTTCAAAAACTCCAGAAACAATAAATCAAAAATTCCAAGAAATCAAAAAACTCAAATAATCCAAAAATCCTAGAAATTGCAAAAATTACAAAAATGTCCGATATTCTGGAAAATTCGTAAATTACCGAAAATTTCGAAAATCCGAGATTTTTCAAATAATAAGATCTCTGAATATTTCGAAAATGGCGAAAAGTCCAAAAAGTGCGTAAATATCCGAAAATTCCGAGAGATCTGAAATTCTTAAATATTCCTGAAGTTTCGGAAGTTCGAAATTCAAAAAATTGCTTAAATTTCTCAAATTTCGTTGTTGTGTTTTAGGGTCATTTCTATATTACAACTCAATCTTTTTATACAAGCTTACCTTAATGGACTCCGTAAGGTTGATTTGCAAGAAGCCAAACTTCATATCCGTCAAAAACTCGTTGGTCCTCGCCCTGAACTGCGATGGTATGATCGTGTACTCTCCCGTATTCTGAATGTTCTCCGCAATGTCTGTAATGTAGACGAACGTAGGTCGGATTGTGGTCTCTCTGTATCCCCACAAGGACATGCGGATATTCGCGTTCTCGTTTGTGGTCAGGTTCTGCTTCTCCCAGGTGATCCTGATCTCGCTGGGGGAACGCTCGTGGATCTTCATGTCGCGGAAGTAGATTTTCTGGGAGGCTTGAGAAGGGGACTCTAAAAGAGAAACACTGTCATTGGGCAAGAAGTTTTCCTATAACCTCTTGAAAAGGTACGATTTATTGAGAAAATATAACAAAGGATTAAAAACGTCCAGACAGAACGTTATTGGTTGTTTGAGTTTCAAGATAATTTTAAAGGACTCTCTGGACGCGTTCGGTAGAACGAACTGTTAGAAAACAAGTAGTTAATACGGAACCCCTAAAAGAATAAAATTCAGCTTGAACTTAATTTGATTTCAAACAGAAGAAAGGAATTTGTTCTATTTAAAACCATTCCCCTGTTCGAGGATTGCAATTTCCTTACCAACATAGTATTTTCCCTTCCACTTGAACGGTTCCGAATTCCTGGCGATCTGCAGGTTGACCCAACCTTCGGCGTAGAGCATAGGTTGGACACAGATGGCCCTATTCCTGTCCACTACGTATCCAGGCACCTCGTTGGCCACGTCGAATTTGCAACGGATCTGGTCGTCAGGAAGAAAACAGGGACCGGTTATGTTGACCACAGTGCCTCCTAACATGTTACCGCTCTCTGGAGCGAAGACCAGCGGCAAATTGGCACCGTCTTGAAACAAAATTGTAAATGAACATGTAATTTTGAAAATTTCCATATTGTCGATGATGGTGTAAAATGTAACAAACTTTGCAAACGTGTGATGACAACTGTGATATTTGAAACGTAAAAGTTGAATCCTTTCGGAACATCCTAAAATTTTGAAAATTTCGAAAACTCAGAAGATTCCGAAAATTCTAAAGAAACTGAAAATTTCTAAGATTTATAAAATTCTGGAAATTCTAAAGTTTTGAAATATCAGAAAATTTCGAGAAACCCGAAAATTGCGAAACTTTCGAAAATTCCGAGAGTTTCGAAAACTCAGTGAATTCTGAACATTCACAAAATTCTGAAATTGCGGAAATTCCGAAAATTCAAATAAATCCTAAAATTTTGAAAATCACCATAGCTCGTTAGTCCCCGAAAATTTAAAATGATCCGAATATCCTAAATGTTCGGAAAATTTGAAAAATTTAAAAAATTCCGAAAATATCGAGAATTCCAAAAACTCCGAAAGTTTCAAAATTCCAAACATTCTGAGAATTTCGAAAATTCCGGAAATTACAAGACTTCAAAGAATTCCAAAAGTTACGAAAACTCAGAAAATTCCGAAATGTCGGAAACTCCGAAAATTATAAAAATTCCAATAATCCGAAATAATCCAGAAATTTTGAAAATCTCTCTCTAAAATTCCAAAAAAAATCATAAAATTTCGAAACTTACGATAATTTGGAAGACTCCTAAAATTCCGAATGATCCGAAAATTTCGACAATCCTAAAAATTTCGAAAATTTCAAAAATTCAGAAAATTTCGAGTATTCCAAAAACTCCGAATGTTTCAAAATTCCGAACATTCTGAGAATTTCGAAAATTCCGGAAATTACAAGACTTCAAAGAATTCCAAAAGTTACGAAAACTCTGAAAATTCCGAAATGTCGGAAACTCCGAAAATTATAAAAATTCCAATAATCCGAAATAATCCAAAAATTTTGAAAATTTCTCTAAAATTCCAAAAAAAAATCATAAAATTTCGAAACTTACGATAATTTGGAAGACTCCTAAAATTCCGAATAATCCGAAAATTTCGACAATCCTAAAGATTTCGAAATTTTTAAAAATTCAGAAAATTTCGAGAATTCCAAAAACTCCGAATGTTTCAAAATTCCGAACATTCTGAGAATTTCGAAAATTCCAGAAATTACGACTTCAGAATTCCAAAAGTTACGAAAACTGAAAATTCTGGTATGTCGGAAACTCCGAAGATTCTAAAAATTCCAATAATCCGAAATAATCCAAAAATTTTGAAAATCCCTCTCTAAAATTCCAAAAAAATCATAAAATTTCGAAAATTCATGGAATTCAAAAAATTTCGAAAATTCCATGAATTTCCAAAGTTTTCCGAATATTCTGAAAATTTCGAAAATTATGGAAATTACGAAACTTGGAAAAATTCCAATAATACTGAGAAGAACCACCCCATCGAAAAGACGGCTTCTGTTGCGGAGGCTGAAATGCTACCTGCCATTTGGATGCGATCATCCATGCATTACCTGCGGTCATAGTCCAGGGAGTATCTTCCCGTCTGCTCGGAAAAATATTCTGATTAGGTTCAGCCCTATCCTGTATAAAGTAATAAAACAGTGCGGAAACTCTTCAATTGAGGCACCACCATAAAAGAATCCGAGTTCTTAAAAAAAATCAGCATCTTTAGAAGTCGTGAGATCTAAGGCCTTTTCTAGAGTGCCCTTTCTACTGGTAAATCTGTGTTCCTTGATAAATCTAACCTCTACTGACTTACTCGTAGTTGTTCTTCAACTTTCTTGTAATCAAAAGACGTACCTATATCCTTGTTACACGACCCTAGCAAAATATTCTCATCGATCCTGAATATGTGCCTTCCCTTGAAACCATTCGCGAACCCTGTGGCAGTCAAATCCCTGATGACCGACTCCTGACTGTACGGTTTGTACTCGAAGCTTCTGGTGCCGTTACCACCGTTGAAACCGACATAGGCCGTGACACCGCCTTCGCCTCGAATCGTGTCACCTCCTGCTTCAGTGTGACTGGTCCAGTCCAGGTTCAGGTAGTTGAACATCGCGTACGTGAAGACCTCGTCGGTCGCGAGCACCGTTTGAAAGGTGTTGGTCTGGAAAATCAAGTTTCTTAGATATTCAAGTGTCTTTTTTACCATTAACTTACCGTATACAAAGCATTAGCAAACCCTCCATTGAACGAAACGTTCTTCCAGGTGACGATAACAGCATGTTTGGGGTTGAACGATTCCGATCCGATGACCCCTTCCCTGATATCCCATTTCAGCCTCTCCCTCAATTCAACTCCGAGACGGTCCTGTCGCGTTCTCAGGTCTCGTTCCATGCGGAAATAAACGCCCGGCTGACGAGGGTCCACTTCGCCGTCTCTCTTCATGCCGACCTGTTGGCAAACATCAATGGGGGCGGTGGTAAATGATGAAGTAGGTATTCTAGGGCCTCTTAGTAGGCTAAGGGGTAGGGTAAAGACAATTCGTGCCGTTAGAAATATTCAGCAAAAAGGACAACAGTATGGGACAGACGCTTAAAAGGTCAACATCGATGGGAGTCGGGATGACGAAGCATATGCTAGGGACTGGCGTTAGGCTGAATGAATAAAGAAATTAGAGACATGCCGTCCAGCATGAGTGAGCCACAGCATAGACCACATGATGCGCCCTTTGCATCGCTATATTCCTCAAGCCTCAAGCTCCGCCCAAAGTTGAGTATAGCCCTGGGTCCTAGCTCCTTAAAATTCTGGGGACCTAAAGTATTAGACCCTAGTATAGTCTGTAGTAGCTCAGCACCTTACAGCGACACAGAACATGCACCGAGGTCTCTGCCTCTACCCTGCATCGTTAACTTATGGGATCCTCTGCCACCTTCACCACATGCAGGTGACGCCTCATCATCTTATGGAAAGTCAACAGTCCCACCAACAACCTTAGGTTGGCTCTATCCAAAGATAAGCAAATGCGTTCATCCTTAGGCCTAACAACGAGCCTTGCCTGACGGAGATCTTTAGAAATGCTTCTACATTCCAGAGAGTGTTGTCTGGCAATATACTTTTCCATTATTCTCCTGACTCTTTGCGTGGGCACCCCTAGGGCTGGCTCAGGATCAACAATGCTCAATGACCCCGGCGCCAGGGTCCTCTTCACTAACTCAACCGCCCGTGTATCAGACCTGCCTGCTTCCTTCGGAGACCTTTCAACTTCAGGAATTCCACTCCGCTCTGATCGGATATTTAGGGGTGACTAGATCACCCCTGCTCAGAAGGACCGGGTCCTCCCTTTGCAATTCGACTAAGATGGCAGTGTGACCCCTGACAGGATTCATAAAGTCCCAGCTGCCCTGACTCCACAGTCGATGACAGGCTTAGACTAAGAGGTCGTGTCATAGCTTATTGGCAATCATTTAGCTTAGCGGTAAAGATGGGTACTCTAGGGGTTTTTAGTTAGCTTAGGAGCAGGACAAAGGCAATTTGTGACGTTGAAAATATCTATCAAAAAGTTTAAGGAAACAGTATGGGACAGGCGTCGGGTCGTCAACGTCGATGGGTGTCGGAATGATGAAGCTTGAGTTAGGGATTGGCATTAGACTGAGGGGTCGTGACATAGCTTAGGGGCAATGATATAGCTTAGTGGCAACGATATAGAGAGTGCAACAGGCGTCCGGCTGACAAGGGTCCACTTCGCCGTTTCCCTTCATGTCGACCTGTTGGCAAACATCAATGCAGCTATGGTAAATGATGAAGTAGGTATTCTAGGGACTCCTAGTAGGCTGAGGGTTAGGGTACAGACAATTTGTGCCGTTAGAAATATCTAACAAACAGTTTAGAAGCAGTGGTATGGGACAGACGTTCCAAAGATCAACGTCGATGGGAGTCGGAATGATGAAGCATATATTAGGGGGTTGACGTTATACTAAGGGGTCGTGACATAGCTTAGGGGCAATTATATATCATAGGGGTAATGATTCAGCTTAGTGGCAAGGATATAGAGAGTGCAACAGGCGTCCGGCTGACAAGGGTCCACTTCCCCATTTCCCTTCATGTCGACCTGTTCGCAAACATCAATGCAGCTGTGGTAAATGATGAAGTAGGTATGCTAGGGACTTTTAGTAGGCTGAGGGTTAGGGTACAGACAATTTGTGCCGTTAGAAATATTTAGCAAAAAGTTTAGAAGCAGTGGTATGGAACAGACGTCTCAAAGGTCAACGTCGATGGGAGTCGGAATGATGATGCACGTATTAGGGGGTTGAAGTTATACTAAGGGGTCGTGACATAGCTTAGGGGCAATTATATCTCTTAGGGGTAATGATATAGCTTAGTGGCAACGATATAGAGAGTGCAACAGGCGTCCGGCTGACAAGGGTCCACTTCGCCGTTTCCCTTCATATCGACCTGTTGGCAAACATCAATGCGGCTGTGGTAAATGATGAAGTAGGTATTCTAGGGACTCTTAGCAGGCTGAGGGTTATGGTACAGACAATTTGTGCCATTAGAAATATTTAGCAAAAAGTTTAGAAGCAGTGGTATGGGACAGACGTCCCTAAGGTCAACGTCGATGGGAGTCGGAATGATGAAGCACGTATTAGGGGGTTGAAGTTATACTAAGGGGTCGTGACATAGCTTAGGGGCAATTATATCTCTTAGGGGTAATGATATAGCTTAGTGGCAACGATATAGAGAGTGCAACAGGCGTCCGGCTGACAAGGGTCCACTTCGCCGTTTCCCTTCATGTGGACCTGTTGGCAAACATCAATGCGGCTGTGGTAAATGATGAAGTAGGTATTCTAGGGACTCTTAGTAGGCTGAGGGTTAGGGTACAGACAATTTGTGCCGTTAGAAATATTTAGCAAAAAGTTTAGAAGCAGTGGTATGGGACAGACGTCCGAAAGGTCAACGTCGATGGGAGTCGGAATGATGAAGCATGTATTAGGGGGTTGACGTTATACTAAGGGGTCGTGACATAGCTTAGGGGCAATTATATATCTTAGGGGTAATGATATAGCTTAGTGGCAACGATATAGAGAGTGCAACAGGCGTCCGGCTGACAAGGGTCCACTTCGCCGTTTCCCTTCATGTCGACCTGTTGGCAAACATCAATGCAGCTGTGGTAAATGATGAAGTAGGTATTCTAGGGACTTTTAGTAGGTTGAGGGTTAGGGTACAGACAATTTGTGCCGTTAGAAATATTTAGCAAAAAGTTTAGAAGCAGTGGTATGGAACAGACGTCCCAAAGGTCAACGTCGTTGGGAGTCGGAATGATGAAGGATGTATTAGGGGGTTGGCGTTATACTAAGGGGTCGTGACATAGCTTAGGGGCAATTATATCTCTTAGGGGCAATGATATAGCTTAGTGGCAATGATATAGAGAGTGCAATTGGCGATCGGCTGACTAGGGCCCACTTCGCCGTCTCTCTTCATGCCGACCTGATGGCAAACATCGATGCGGCTGTGGTAAATGATGAAGTAGGTATTCTAGGGACTCTTAGTAGGTGGAGGGGCAGGACAGAGACGTTAGAAATATTCAGCAAAAAGTTTAAGGGCAACGGTATAGGACAGACGTCCGAAAGGACAATGTCCATGGGAGTCAGAATGATGAAGCATGTATTAGGGGTTGGGGTTATACTAAGGGGTCGTAATATAGCTTAGGGGCAATAATATAGAGGGTGCAACAGATGTCTGGCGTGGACCATCGTCAGGTCCACTTCACCGTCTGAGTTCATGGTGTCCTGTTAGAAAGCATTCATGAGGACGGTGGTGAATGATAAATTAGGTACTCTAGGGGTTCCTGTTAGACCAAGGAGTAGTGTTAACTGGCGAAAACTTAATATTCTGCAAGTGCTTATAGGTGATGATGTAGACTATGTCTGCAATAATGACCAGGTTATCAAACACCAATTGGGTTGGCAGATGATAAAGCGATATCAGAAGTCCTGACTTTCACATGTTTGTGCATGTCTACAGTTCACCTCTTTTGCAAGCAGCGACCACCAATACTCAGCCCAGTTAGCGGTTATAGTATTTTAATTTCAGTCAATTTACAATGGTCAGCATGATCAAATCTAATTGTTATTGGAAAAAAATATTATTTAACTAATATTTTGTTGGCCTTTCGCTCCTATACTATTTCGTGCAGACTTTATAAATGAATGGGACTATGTCGTCTTATTCTTTGAGAATTTCTCAGGTAAAAATCCCTTGGTAGCAAAGTTGAGGCATGGTTGAAACTTTGCTTTAGCGTTGACTCTACTAGTCTGGCTAGAAAATATCAAATAGGTAACAAAACCACAATAAATATGGTATGCCCAATATACCTTCAGAGATTCGAACATTTCTAGGGATGGAATAGGCATAGGGAACTTATATTTATATGCTAGAATTGGCAAAGAAAAGGACAAATTTACTTACTCTGCATTTGCTGAAAAAGATACCAATAAAGGCAGGATCGTTCTTCTTAGGCCAATCTTTAACAGGAAAAACTAGTGGATAGTAGTAATTTGGTGGTGGATCACTGAATTCTAGGTAACCATTGAGAGATACCCTTGTATAATTGTACCTGTAAAAAGCATAAAAATTAAATTGCAATGCTTTTTCAAGAAGCTGAATTGTAAGAAAAAAGTTTTGATCTTAGATTGTGGAAGATTGTGAACAAGAAAACATTAAAACCAATCGTTACTGGCATAGAAGATAAACATTTCTATAACAATGAGATCTCCTATCTCGTTTTGGAATGACGTTTCATGTCCACTTCAAAATAACTGTTACAGACTCGATAAATCAATGCCTCAAAGACAAACATTACTGATATTAGTGTTTTAGTAGAGATCTCCATATAACTATACCTGAATCCATAGAAGGGCAACTGAAAGTTGAAATTCTTGTGCACTTGTGGTGTGGATGCTTGGATTTCCTTCTGGTAATCCCCCTCGTTATCAGCGTTTCCACCCTCGTTGTAATAGGGGTACATGAACAGTTTTCTGATCTCTGCCAGCCTCTGTTCAGTGATGGTGTAGAGTTGGTCCGAATAGCCCCTTTGGTCATGATCTGGCGGGGCTATGTTTGAGGTCATCGGGTCTGTGGATGTTAGCGCCGGTTTAGGCAACGTTTGCAAACGTTTTTTATAAAAAGCTAGGGGTTGGTTAGATATTCTCTTATTTTAGTATGTGAAAAAAAGGATGGGTAGGGTCTAAGGGTCGTATCGTCGGTCGATACTACAATTGTAGGACGCCTTTATGGCCTCCTTGATTTTCATAGTTTTTCTTAGGCTGACACGGAACAGTAGAATCCTAGAAATACAGCTTACAGCTATATTTATGTTTGTATTTCATGACTATTAGGAACATAGTGAAAATTATTTAGGCCTGAGAAGGAAGAACTTAGGGTGTCATCATTGAGGCGTATCGGATTTTGGTTCGGAACTGTCTGAAATTTCATTTTTTGCTTCCTCCTCTCTAGAAACATTTTCTTCCGATTTCGATACCTTGAATACCAGTGAGGAACATTTTGAGGAACTATGATTGTACAAGCTTTTCGCATTAATATTAAACAAACTTATTTGCCTTATAAATATTACCACTGACTTTTCAAACCATATTCAGGGTGCCCAACAAAAATGGAAAGTAGTTTTATGAGCAAACTGGAAAATACAGGGTGTCCGTAAAGTTGGGGTTTTCCTTTACACGACGTGTAGATCTTGAAAACATAAGCAATTTTTCTTAGTACCATATACGCCAATGTCTTAAGGGAACCGAGATAAAGGGCTCTGCAACATCAAAAATATGTGAATACCGTCCTGTAGCCGCGACCCGCGGCGATATCCCCGACTGGTACAAGGTCTCAACCCGACGGCAGAACTGGGTCGGGGTCGGTGTGTCAGGTCAGTATGCGACCTTCAACCGACGGTTACGGTCACGCGTCTAGAGGTAATCGCGTAGACGAGAATCCCCCAACAAGACGTGGCTAGAGAAGTGCAAGTATGAAAAACTAAAGTGTGGCAAGCGCTGCGTGAAGAGGGGCTGTATCCGTCTCACGTCCAACGTGTTCAAGCCCTTCACCCTGATTTTCCAGCAAGAGTGCGGTTTTGTGAGTGGTTGTTGCATCAACATGACAATAATCCGGACTTTTTGAAGTGCATATTGGTGACAGACGAATCTACGTTCACGCGTAATGGGGTGAATAACTTTCGCAACACTCATGTTTGGTCAGTAGAAAATCCGCACGCTGTCCGTCGGGCACATTTTCATTTTCTGTTGGAGCGGTATGATTTCGGGCAGAGACGTACTTAGCCCTTCTCGTCAACTGGAGAGTGAGTACTTTTTCCTTTATTTTTTTTTACTTGGTCGCCCTCGTTTCACTACACATCACCTTTGTTATTTCAAGGAAAACCCCAACTTTGCGGACACCCTGTATATCAAAAATATGTTTTTGTGGCAAGCTTCATAAGTTGTCAGTATTTCAATATATACAGGATGTACATTTTTCAGTTACTGAAAATTTTCGTCTTTGTTGTTAATTGCAGATAATTCTGTTGCAATATTTTTTAGATATTTAGTGAGATGTCTGAAAAAATGTCCAACTTTGACAACTGGCAGCTGCCATTTTTGAAGGTATTTAGATAAATTATAGTAGAGCTAAATTTTATTATCATCGATTTTAACCTGATGTGAACGATGCCAAAATATCTTTATATTTCTACGCGGTATCTCAAAACGCAAAATGTACCAAATCCCAAAAATTTCAAAAGGAAGACCCTGTATATTTCTACATCATTAAATAACTCTCCTTGGCAACTCTTTTTTTATATAAGGCTTATACCACTTGTTTTGAACAGTTTTAGAGTTATTGCTATTAATTTAGTCTTAAAATCAGAGCTTCTGTGAAAACAATTCAATATGAAATCATTGTAATACATTCCAAGTAGTTCTGTTGAATTCCAGATGTCAGGTCTACTATTTTTTCACAACCACGTTATTCCAGCAACTTGGGAAACAGACTCCCCATTGCATTTATCTCGAATTACCGTATATCACTGATGTCTAGTAAGACCAAGCGGATCTCAGAACCATATCTAGATCGCTGGCGTCGAAATAGTTGGATAGGGAGAGGCGGACCGATCGATTGACCAGCGAGATCTCCTGATCTGACGCCTCTCGACTTCTTTCACCATGGCTATGCAAAAGGAGAGGTCTACCAGGAGAAGTCAACAAAACCCGAGGATATGAAACGACGAATAAGCGGACAGCAAGACAAACTCTTTCAGACGTGCAAGATAATTCAACAGGTGTCAGACCTTGTGTTCTATGCATCAAGGTACTATACTAAGTGACATATAAATCCGAACACCCAATTTAAATGGTTTTATTTTAATAAAATTTTGTATAAGTACTTAATGAAGCATAATAAGTAAATGATAAAAATTTCAAAATGATTGCACTGCTGCAAAGCCCTTTGACTTTTAATAATGTGTGGATGCACCCTGATGTGCTACGCATTCTCCAACGCGCCTAGGCATGCTTCTGATCAGGTGGCCAATGTCCTCCTGTGGTATCTCATTCCAGGCAACCACCAACTCCTCTCGAAGTGCTTCTAGAGTCTCAGGAGGATGTTGCAAATTGAGCAATCTCCTACCCATCATATCCCACACGTGCTCAATTGGGGATAAGTCGGGAGATCTTGGTGGCCATGGTAACAATGTGACATCATTATGATGAAAGAAGTCTATTGTGACTCTTGCAACATGTGGTCGGGCATTATCTTGTTGGAAAGTTGGATCTGCCAGGGTGTCAAGATAGGGTAAAAGATGGGGTTCTAGAACTTCGTGGATATAACGCTGCGCGTTCATGTTACCTCTGATGAAGATTAAAGGTGACCTGGAACCATGAGCGATAGCACCCCAAACCATAACTCCAACAGTGTGATGAACATGTCTTTCAACAAAAAACTGTGGATTCCTCCTTTCACCACGTCGCCTTCTAACCCTGGCACGACCATCGTGCATGCCTAAACAAAATCGAAACTCATCACTAAAGACAATACTGTTCCATTCCTGATTCCAGAGTGACCGTTGTCTGCACCACTCAAGGCGATTACGTCGGTGTTGTCGAGTTAAAGGGAGGACCCAGTGTGGCAGGTATGAAAACAAGCCAAAACTTCTCATTCGTCGGTAAACACTTCGCATGCCAATAGGTCTTCCGTGTTCTGCAAACCATTCATTTGCAATGGACCTGGTAGTGGAGAAACGGTCCCTTAAGGCCAATAATCTTAGGCGGCGATCTTCACGGTCTGTTGTTCTACGGTGGCGTCCAGTGCTCCTTGCTCTTTGCGTACGGCCTTCTCGAAGCCATGCCTGACAACACCTGACCACAGTGTTTACACTTCTTTGCACTCTAACTGCAATTGCCCGAAAAGAAAGTCCAGCTTCCCGAAGTCCCACTATACGGCCCCTATCAAACTCACTAAGTTGACGAAATCGTACAGGTCTCCGTACTCTAGGCATCGTAACCGATCGTAAAGGATGTCAAGAACCAAAATCCGCCAACGTTGATTCTTTACTGCGGCTGAAATATTCATTTTTAGAGCGTTAGTGAATTAAAAAAAAGCAGTATAAAAACCGGAATGTGCAACTGATAAGGCTGAAAATTTTTTCACTTGTTATTTACAGTAAGATAAATACATTCACCAACTTTCATTAAAATAAAACCATTTAAACTGGGTGTTCGGATTTATATGTCACTTAGTATATATTCGAACAATTTCTGAGATTATTTTTGTTGTTTTAATAAAAGCTATTGTTGTGATAGAAGATTTGATCTCACGTCTTAACACAAGATGGATTTGGTTTTTCTTGAAATTGACAGCAATAACTCAAAAACTTTTAGAAAAAGTGTATAAACCTTCTATCAAAAAAAAACTATTTGAATTTTAGAAATAAACATTTGAATCTTTTGCAAAAATGGAACACCCCGTAAAAATTATAATACTTTCAAAATATGCACTGGTTACATATGAAGGTTGCCACGACGACAGATTGTTTGCTAATAAAACTGCTTTCCATGTTTGTTGGGACACCTTGTATATGCATATTTGTACGTACAGAGTCGACCTACTGGACTCTATTTTTAGAATCACGTTCAAACACCTGGACACGATTTAGTGATATATTCAACATCAATAATTGCATCTGTGATCGGCAATCCACGCTAATGGAGCTTCCATTCGGTTACGCTGCTTTCAGCGTCATTTTTTATTCAATCAAATGGGTAATTTTTTTAATTCGCTTACATAAAAACGGTTCATATACATTTAGTTGTGCGAGCAATACGTCTGAATATTTGTTTGGTGTATCATGACCCAAATTTCTCACCATAGTCAATATTAGATAAAAACAGTCGTATAGCTATATCAGGCTGCTATGCTTTGGGTAAACATATTTTTATACAGGAAAAATGCTTGTTAATTCTGTGTGGTTATCGCTGTAGATTATTATCAAACGGCAATTTATTGTGAGCTGACATCAGTATGAATCTACATTTTTCTCTTTTTGTATAACATTTAATTTCTTTTTTTCTAGCTGCTAATTAAATTTTACATCCAAAGCGTTTTAAGAATGCTTTGAGTAAAGATAGCTTAGCTTTTTCCCAGCAGCTGCTGCTATTGACGAGATGTATTCATGCTATATCAAGTTATATTATTATAAGATTCAAATTCGTCATTGTAAAAACAATGAAAGTGAATCACGTATTTTTAAATATTAATTCGTTTTGGGAATTTTATGATCCATTCATCTAGCCAGCGTGATACCGGTGAACGGATATTTCTAAGCCTAAACAGAAAATACGGTTTAGTATGCTATATCTAATCACCGCACCCAAACAAGATGGCGACCACAGGTTATCTTGATAAGCCACAAACAGTCACAATTGATAATAACAATGAACGATTCATAGCTAGTGCGAATATACCTCGGTCTTGAAATATCTTACCAAGAAAATATTCTATTGATAATAACGAAACGGAAACACGATAGGGAGAAAATCTTAAGAAATGCGAACTTTTGCGTACGGGAAGATTATACT